TCTGGGGGCCATGTTCACCACCCTGTGTATGTGTAGGGGAGGCTGCTTGAGCATTAAGCCAGTACTGAGGAAAGCAGATACAAGGCATTAAGAAACAGAGATTGAGAGGAAGGAAAAGAGACCCATCTGATGACACCTGAATAAAGCCACACCTGAATACCTACTCTGGACTTTTATGTGAGCTGATCCATACCCTTTCCCCCTTCTTCCCCCAATCAGGCCATTTGGTGTTGGCTACCTCAACCCTTGCAACCAAATGAATGCAGACTGCCCTGGGCAGTGTGGCTCAGTTGGTTGGAGCATCGCCGCATGGACCAAAGGGTGGCAGGTTTGATTCCCAGTCAGGACACATACCTGGGTTACAGGATTGGTTCCCAGTACAGGAGGCAATTGATTTATATTTCTCTCTCCATCAATTTTTTTTTTCTCTCTCTTTCTTGCCCCTACCAAAAATCGGTGAGCATATTGTTGGGTGAGAATACAAAAAAAAAAAAAAAAAAAAAAAAAAAAAACCCAAAATAATACATCTCTCTTAAAAGTTCTCTTTGATCACAAAGCTCTTCCCATCTGTAGACAATGATTTGAATGGATATTCTTTGTCTAGTTTACTGTCTGTCGCTCCTGCATGGGCATATGGTAAGTTCTCAGTAAACATTTGTTGAAAGCATCAATAGGAGGGGTTGAGACTGCCCACCCCCCTGCAAGAAGAGGTTGTGGTGACAGGCATGTAACCAGTCTCAGCAAGAAGCTCCCAGAAGTGGTAATCTAACAGCCCAGTAGAGCAAGTAATGGACACAGTCTGTCAATGTAAACTGGGTCCTGCCGGCCCTGATGCTGGGGCTCCAAGTGACGGGGACTGATGAGAACCAGATAGATCCTTGTCTAGGAGGCATTAGGATGCGCCTGGTACAGGGACAAAGCAAGGCCTTACCTGTGAGTCCGCAGGAAGCATGGGGCCCACAGCACTCTACTTCCTCCTGATTGCTGCCCACCTGGTCCAGACTGCCCACCTGAGCAGTTTTCACTGCTCCCTGGGTGTCACTTCTACTCTTCCTCCACTAAAATCACTTCTTACCCAGCAGCTAGGGTGAGGTTTTGAAAATGTAAATCAGATCGTGTCACCTCCCCCGCCCCCCTCAAATCCTCCAAAGGCTTACCCCTGTGCCTATAGCAACATAATAATGACAGCTGACACACTGTGCTTGTTAGGTGCCAGGCACTGTTCTAAGAACTTTACTTAGAATAATTTAATTCTCACAATATCACTGTAAGACAAACACTGTTATTATCATTCCCATTTTACAGATGAGAAAACTGAGGCACAATGAGATTTGATAAATTGCCAGAGTTATCATGGATTACAATCCAAGTTCTTTATCATCCCCAGGTCTTTGTGTGGCTGCCTCTATCTTATCGGTTAGGTCCTAGCACAGATGTCACCTTCTCAGAGAGGACTTCCCAGATCATCCAGTTTATAGAGTCTTCCCCTTCTCTAGTACAACATCCTGTTTTGTTTTCACATCACTTACCATTTTATTAAATTAGCTATTCAATTTCTTACTTGCTGACTTGTTTCTGTCCTGGCCCCATCCTCCACCCCGGGTGTCAGCTCCCTGGCAGCAGGGACCAGGACTCTTTTGTTCACTTTCGTATTCCAGCACTTGGCACAGATGGATAGCAAGTCAATAAACATTTGTTAAAATGAAGGCAAGAGTGGAGGAAAGAGGGCATAAGGCCTGAGCCTCCCTCCCATGATTAGTTTGAGGATGGGTCGTGGAAGAAGAGAGAATGGAGGCCAGAGAGGAAGGGAGACCCTGGAAAGGAACTCAGAGCCCTACAGGGAGCCCAGAATTTGAATTTCAGATAATCAGGGAATAATTTTTAATATAAGTATGTCATACACAATATTTGGGATGTATTTATATTAAAAAAATTTTTGTGCCCTGGCTGGTGTGTCTACAATTGAGTGTTGGCCTACGAACGGAAAGGTCACCTGTTCAATTCTCAGTCAGGGCACATTCCTGGGTTGCGGGCCAGGTCCCCAGTAGGGGGTGCATGAGAGGCAGCCACACGTTGATGTTTCTCTCTCTCTCTCCTCCCCTTCCTCTTTCTCTAAAAATAAATAAATAAATAAAATCTTGTTTTAAAAAAGTTTGCTGTTAATGTGAAATTAAAATTTCCTTGGCATCCCGTATTTTATCTGGCGGCCCTCTTCCGGATCCTCACTTTGTGCTAAGTGCTATGGGAGAGTCCACTGAGCACTGGCCTGCTTTTCTAACTATGGAACATTTTGTTTTTACTCCTGAGTAAGGAAGTACAGTCTCTTTATTGATTTAACTGAAGGAGAATATCCGTCAAAACAGCAGCTTGTTAGAGGAGATTGGCTCCCAGGCTGGATAAATACCACAGGGAAGGCAAAATAGATGCCTTGCCCTGACTCAAGGTGGGCCTTCAGACCTGCTTGTGCCCTGTGACTTCGCCTCCCAGGTCCGAAGTGGGCTTGAATGGGTGCTGTTAAAGAGAACAGGAACAGAACTGCTCAACCTGGGAGGAAAAGATTTATGGGAATGTGGGCTTATTCTGGTGATTCACCCATTCATTCAGTCTCACTGAGCAGCTGGTGGTGGGAACTCAGAGATGAATAGGATTGAGCGCAGCTCTGGAGGCTATCCAAACTCAGGGAGATGAATCTGGACCTTAGGACAAACAAGTGATGCCTGTTCCCAAAGCTGCCCTCATGATTGAATGGGAAGAGTGCATTTCTTTCCCTTCTTCTCTCTCCTTCCTTTCCTTTTTTTTCCCTTTTCTTCTCTTCTTTCACCTTCCAGCCCTTTGTCACCTTAAATCTAATTACTTTGTAAACAATTAATACCATAAAGGAACAACTACTGGCACAATTAGGTAGGGGACCCGGTTTTTGACCCAATATCTTTGTCTATCCAAACCCACCCCATTCTCTCAGTGTCCAGATCTAGACAGACAAAGCCATCCATCCAATTCAGCCTGGAGTTCATTTGCACACTTTTTTCTAATTGGCAGATACAAACCCACTGCAGCTTCCATCCTTCCCTGCCCTTCTCCACCTCCCTGTTGAAGACCCACTAGGTCCAGCATCCTGGGATCCTCAGATCTCTGCTCTGCTGCCTTGTCTACTCAATCATTCCTCAATAAAGTGTCAATGGGTGATCCCTTCTGGGGTTAAAAGACATAGGTCAAGGATGGCGATTGCCACTGACAAGCTGTGTGTTCTTGAATGAGTTCTTTTGCCTGTCTGAGACTCAATTACCATGTCTATAAAATGGGGATACTTCTCATAATGAGGGTCTTGTGAGACTATTCTGGAGTGTTTAATGTGAACTCTTAAGCCAGACCAAGTTTAAATCCTTCCTCTTTCACTTAACAGCAGAGTGCCCTAAACAAATTTCCTATTTACTTCTCTTTTCTTATTTGGTTGGAATGGGTCTGAAATAAGTCAGTATGTTTAAAAATACCTAGAATTCTTTACATACCAGTGCCTAATAAATAACCATGATTACTGTTAACGGATATTAAATTCCTTTGTCCAACTGCTATTAATATTATTATTATTGCCCAATGAGTATTTGGGAAAAATCAACTGAGTACAACTCTGGCTCAGGGACCACAGGTTCCTTATGAAAAGAGGACTAAAGAATGAAACCTTATCCTCTCTGAGCCTCAGTGCCTTCATCTATAAAATGGCAATAACAACCCCACCTCTGCCTACTTCACAAGAGTGTCAATGGTAAGCACTTAGAAAAATATCTGTTGAATGAAAGAGGGCACGGATCATGTTAGGTGTCAGTGGCAAGCTGCCCTGGACAATGTAACTGTGTTGACTTGCTGTCCATGAGACCTGACACAATTGAGACCAGCCTAGGGCAATGGATGAGTGCTGAGTTGAGCAGACAGGCTGGGTGGTTTGCTGGTCAGCTCTTTGTATTTGGGTAATAGATACTCTGACACTCACTAGGTGAGAGTGTAAATGTATTGGTACAGCTTTTCTGGAAAACCACATAGTGCTAGCTAGCACAGTTTAAAAGTATAAACAAATTAGCCTGGTAGTTTCATCTACAGGAAGTCATCTGCCAGATATCTTGGCTCAAGTATGCCAAGATTTATATAGGTGTGTTCTCTGCAACTCTTTGCAATAGTGGAGAACTGGAAACAACCTAAATTTTCCTCACTATGGGAGTAGATAAAGAAACTGTGATGCATTTATAATATGGACTATATAGCCATTAAAAAGAATGAAGTAAAGCTTTATGTATTAATATCCAGAGGTCTCAAGATATACGAGTATGGTTAAGGAAACAAACAGAACAACTCAAGTTGTCAGAGCTATGCATTTAATATAACAACATTTGTGGAATAAAACCTTATCTATGTATCTGCATAGGAAATATCTGGAAAGCTACACAAAGTTAGAGTGGTTAAGAAAGGGGAAAACTTTAAATTAAAAAATTAATTTGATAAAAGAAAGAGCACCCTTTTAAAGCCCAGAGACCCTGTTTGTATAACCTGGGGTGTGACTCAAGAAACGCTATTCCTTTTTTTTTTTTTTTTTTTTGAGAGGAAGATTCCTTTTGTGTAAGCTGACAAAGATAATGCTTACCTCCCAATACTGTGATGGGATTAAATGATATAATAGATATGAAAACCCATGCTCAGAGCAGGGACAAATGATTCTAACAGTCAAGGAGGGCAACTCAAAGAAGAAAGCATTAGCCTAGATCTTGAAAGATTTGGTGAGATACGGATTTAGTTTGATTCCTGGCTGTCTTTTCCCAACATTCAACATGTACTTGTTTATTAGGGGTCTTACACAAAACCCGATGTGGTCCTTTTAACCGCCAGTCTTCTGCTACTTAAAGTGAAACTCTCTGGCGCGTGCGCAGTATTAGCATCTTTGGCTGCGCTCCGCCCACGTACTACAATTCCCGGCAGGCTCCGCGCACGCCGCCCGCGCGCCGTGGACTGCTGTCGTAATGCAGTAGCGCGGGGAATTTCGAGTGGCAGTGGAGCGCGGGAGGTCAGTGGGCATTGGAACCCCCAGGAACAGCCATGAGCTCCCTAATCGAGCCTCGGTGGCCTCCGGGCCTGGAAGTCTTGAAGGTGAGTGCTTCAGGGGAGGTTGGGGGTGCCCAGGTGTCAGCGGGAAACCGGCCCCGCCTTAAGAGGACCCGGCGTCAGCGGCCACCTTGGCCCAGGGTTCCCCCGGCACTGCTCTCGGTCCCTTATGGTGAGCTGAAGTTGGCGGTCTCACTGAACCGGCTATTCTGCAGTTTAGCCACAACAATAACAGTGACATCGAGAAAAAGGTTACTCTAAACAGTGGAAACGACAGAGACAACTAACCCTTTCTGAGGGTTTATGACGTGCTAACCATTATCTAAACGCTCGCAGTACATTAGTTTAGAATTTCCCAGAGGGACACTGGACACGATTTTGGGTAGACCTTGCATCAAAAAAGCATTTATTTAATCACCTAGGGAAGCAGGTGGTCTCCTTTATATTCTCTTTTATTTGTTCTAATTACCCGCAATAAGCCTAGTGCTGGTTTGCTCTAACTCCTGACAGTTGTGTATATCTCTCTTTTAAACAAAGAGATCAGGACTCAGGCACAGCACTAGCCAGCCTTTCGTTTAATTCAGTTACTTCACTTAAATAACATTGATTTTTGAGGCTACTTGGTTTTTGGCAAGGCGTTTCAGTTTCCACTTACAGTAGTAGTGAGCCCCGTATTCCAGCTGTGTTTGGTCAAGAGTAAATACATTTTGCTGTGCTAAGAATCAGTTGCTTGGTTTTCCTCCTTGCAATGTGATCATTTCAGTTTTGTGGGCAAGATCACTTCCTCGTTCTCTTCCTCTGTTTTGTAAACTTGGAGATTATGGTGTCTGTCCCACTGACTCATAAGGCTGACTTTGCGGATTAAGTGAAGAGGCTGTTGGGAGGTTAAAGTATGAGACCTTATTCTTCCTGTCATCATCAGTATCATCTGCAGTTCTTGGGGATTTGAGATATAGCCCTGTGGTGAAAGCTGACATTGTGGAACGGATCTAGAAAAGCTGTGGTTTTGAAGTTGCGGTGGCTTTGGCACCAAGGTGCAGTGGAAAAGAGCATAGATTTGAGTACAGATGATCCCAGGTTAAATCTGGCCTCTGCCTCTCACTTAACTGTGTGACCTTTTGTTAGTAAAACTCTCAGCCTGCATTTCCTCAACTGTAAACTGGAAGCAAAGATAAACAGTTTATAGGGCTGGTTAAATGAGTTGATTTGTGGACAGGATCCTGTCTGACTTACTCACTGTACTTAACACAACATGTGGCACGTGGTGGGTGCTCAAAAATTATTTGCCAATTGATTGAAGGTATCTGGAAGGTAAGCATTCAATTGATATATTGTATTATTAGCACTTAACATATGTTAGCTTTTCAACTCCTTTTTATTTGTTGTGAAGATTGAATTGGATGAAGGAAGTGAAAGCTCTGTAACTTGTAAAGCTACCTGTTTGTAGATCTAAGCATATTTTGTATATTCTTACTGCTCCCACAATGCTCTTTAGAGGCAGGTTCCATGTCTCCTGTGGCTTTAATTATCTCACCACAGGACTAAATTGAGGGTTCAGGATGAGAGTGTTCAGTGATAGAGTTGATTGAGTCCATATTAGAATCATGAAATCTTAAGGCTGGGAAGCCAGCCCCCACTACTATTTTAATCTCTTTTATAATGTATTCTGCCAACCTCTCATCTAGTTTTTATTTGAACTCCAGGAACAAATATTTAGCTGCTCCCAGAAGTAGCTCTGCTTAAAGTTCTGTCTTATATTGAATAGAAATCTGACTCCAGGTCCATGGTTCCTAATTTGGGTTTCATGGAAAGATTTTGGTACCTGGTTGCTTATAAAATTTTTGTCTGTCTATATGCTTTTCTGAGAAGAGACTCCATAGTTTTAATCCATTTTTCAAAGGGATCTGTGACCCAAAAAACTTAAGAACTTTTGTTTTGATTATTTTCACCCATTCCCTGCTTCTCCTTCCACTTTCTCTAAGTTAAAGAAATCCTGCGGCATCCACTTGACCACTTTGTATTTGGGTTGAGGCACCGTGGCGTGCATTTCTGTCTTGAAATGGCTTGACTGAAAAGTCATACAAGAATGTTATAGCTCCTCTGATGTGGTCTCACCTTGAACAGATCTTGCTCAGCAGATGGGTCAGAACCACTCCTTCACCAGAAGGGGATGGTTATATTGAAGGAAGTACAAGACACTAGATGCCATGACTCTGGCTTCCAGGTCTGCCTCTGCTCTTAATTGATTTTCAACACAATTCTCTTGCCTTTTGTGTCAGTGGTAGCTTACCGTGCAAGATAACAGAAGAGCCCTGACCAGTGTGGCTCAGTTTCTTGGGTGTCGTTTTGCAAAGCAAAAGTTCACTAGTTCGATTCCCGGTCAAGTCACCTGCCTGTATTTGTGGGTTCAGTCCCCAGTGGCGCTTGATTGATGTTTTTCGTCACATCAATGTTTCTCTCCTTTTTCCCCCCTCTCTCTTCCCCTCTCTTTAAAAATAAATAATTGAAATCTTAAAAAATAAAAACGGAAGAGTTTTGGTATTTTAATCTTTTATTTCCCTGGTTCACCCATCACAAAAATTTCTGGCTTTGACAGGTTATAAATGCAAGTGGATAGAGTAGGAAAAAATCAAAATACAGAGAAAGAGAAAGGAGTAAGTGAAAGTTGTCCATTATCCTATCATCCAGAGGTAATCACTATTTGACATTTTCTCTCATTTTCCTTCAGTTTACTGCTTGTGTTCATGCACGCTTGTATCCACAGTGTATATCTGCATTTAAAATTTGGAATCACTTTGGAGTCAATCCAAACCAAATTTCTTGGGTCAATCCAACCACTTTTAAGCTCTGTAGTCTTAGTCTATAAAACTGGGATAAAGACGCTTTAGACTTCATAGAATTGTTATAAAGATTAAACTACATAGTTCTATTATTATATATTATTGCAGATTTGTTCTTTGATTTTTTTGGAAAGTTTCCATTAAAACAAGAACATTTTCCCCTGGCATTTTTCTTTGAAAACACTTTTTTAAATGGCTACATAATATTTCATCATATGGACTATTAAGTGACATCAGTCTTTTTTTTTGTTTGTATTTTAACACTTAGGTATTATGCTCACATGGTTCAAAAAATACATGAAATGAAAAACAAAAGTCTGCCTCCCAGTTTTGTCCCTTCCCTGTCCCGTTTCCTAACCCCTGTGACCATTATTGATTACTTTCTTGTGTCTCTTTTCAGAATGTCTTATACCTATCCACATACAAGATAAAAATACAATACATTCTTACTTCCCCCTCCCTTTTAAGCAAGAGGTAGCCTACCTATGTACTATCTTTTTTCACTTATCTTGGCAGTCTCTCCCTATCAGTGCAGAAGAGGGAGCCCTCTTTTCTGTATTCTCTTACGTATCATCTCAGTATTCTATGGAAAGGAATAACATCTTACTTTAAATGATTTGAAAGGTTTGGGGTTGTGAGCCTAGATCCTTTCCTGTTCAGTAGCTTTCTAGGTCCGCTTTCTGTCTGACTTTCCAGATTTTCCTCTTCTTCACTTCTCTGTGCTGTCACTGGCTCCCGTCTTTGCAGGGCTTCCTCATTGGCCTCTACTGTGGAATCACGCAGAAGCCAGTAGGGAGACAACAAGGTTAGCCCTGGGTGGACTCATGCCCCAGATATGTGCCTGCTCTGGATACAAGTTTCCTCATTTGTGAAATAAGGGTTTTAACTAGATAATTTCTAATGTTTGTCTTTAATATGCTCTGGTTTTGTTTTTAACCTGTGTGCTGACTGGCTACTGGTACCTTTCACCCAGCAGTGACTGTAGGCCGGGGGATAGGGTCTGAAGAGGAGGCGGTGTGGAGTAAAAGCTGGAAACACTTGGGAAGTGGAACAGGAATAGAGTAGTTCTTTTGTGAAGGGGTAACAATATTGCGTTGGAACGTATACAGTGTCAGCTTTATCCGTCTAAAGTGTTTCGGTTAATGTGAGATTTGAATGTGTAAGAGTCATATGGGGGAGGTTTTTCTCTATTTGTCGAGGTCTCCTGCAGTTTATGTGGAGTTTGCTTTTGAGTTTGTATATTTGACAAAAGTATTATTAAGTTTTTTTTTTTTAGAGTATGGAGAAAGTTTCGTGTCAGATGTTCTAGTCTTGGTATCTTTCTGACACATATATATATGTATTTACATTTCAGAGAGTAGATGATTTGCTGCGGTGTGGAATTTGCTTTGAATATTTCAACATTGCCATGATGATTCCTCAGTGTTCACATAACTGTAAGTATCTACTGTTTCTGTGAATTAGTAAAAGTATGATTTTTATATGAGGTGGTATTAATTTAATACCAAAGATAAATACATATTTATTTCTAGTTTTAGCTCCATCTTACCCCTGAAGTTTTCAGAAGGTCTTTCCCACCATTTCCTCTTGAATATTGAAGTTTTTACAAAGGCTCTTCTATTTTCTACCACCCCCTTTTGGCTATTTTTCTGTCTTTTATAACATTAATGGCAATAAAGATTTTGGTCATGATATGTGGTTTTTTATTTGCCAAGCACTTTTAGATGTTAAATTTCAGAATTTTTGTTTTTAGCAGGATAACAGATAGGTGGTTCAACTAAGTAGTAGTTTGTGTAGCGTTTCAAAGTATAAAAGTCCCAATGGGGGAATTATACCAGTAAAGAGTCTTAAAGTTTTATCACCAAACTTGCTGTGTGATGCTGGATGGACTCTTTTGTTGGAATCTTCTAGTACTTCTCTTTCTGAGTCTAGTATGTATTTTTTATACTTGAGGCATTTAACACACAGGGGTGAGCCTGTCTGTCATTGTTCAGGAGCTGGCTATTTATGGATTATCTAAGTTCATGATCTTCTGTCCTCTAGCTTCTTTCTTCTTTCTTCCTCCTCCTCCTCCTTCCCTCTCCTTTCCCCTCCTCCCCCCTCCGTCCCTTTTCTCCCTTCTCCCCTCTTCCTCTTCCTCCTCTTCTTCTTTGAGAGAGAGAGGAAGGGAGGGAGAAAGAAAGGGAGAAAAATATCGCTGTGAGGAAAAAAACATAGATTGGTTGCTTCTCGTATGCGTCCTGGCCAGAGACCAGACTCTCAACCCAGGCATGTAATTGGGCTCCCTCTTTTCTGTGTTCTCTTAAATATCTTCTCAGTATTCTATGGAAAGGAATAACATCTTACTTTAAATGATTTGAAAGGTCTGGGGTTGTGAGACTAGATCCTTTCCTGTTCAGTAGCTTTCACTTTGCTGGATGATGTCCAGCCAACAGCCACACTGGTCAGAGCTCTGTCCTCTATTTTCAAGTTGATTTTTCTTGGAAATTTTAAAAAACCCCCAACAAGTTTGACTTAAAAAATGGGTTTAGTGGATAGTAAGCTTTGGTGGAAAAGTTTTTATAGGGAAGACATCAGTATAGTGGTGGTAGCAACCTGGTCATTAGAGATATACTTAGGCTTGACTCTTAGCTCCCCACTTAGTAGGTTGATGAGTGTGCAGATGCCCAATATTTCTTCAAAGAGAAAGAAATCTGGTGAGTATTTTTACCTCAGAAAATGGTTGCGAGAATTAAATGTGCAGAGCCCAGTGTCTGACACATTACAGGCCCTTAATAAATGTTAATTCCCTTTCTAGGCCAGATTCATATTAATAAATAACCAAGATAAGTTTTGGGGACTGTTTTTAAATATGTGCTAACACCATTTTTATTTAGGTATGACTTACATGAAATAAAATACACCCATTTTAAGTGCACAGTGAAGTGTACAGGTGTTAGTGAGTTTTGACGAATACATATACCATGCAGCTGCTACAGGTAAGATACTGAACATTCCTATCACCTGATCGAGTTCTCCCTGTCTCAGTCAGTATGGCTGCAGGCAATCATGTGTAGGTCCTTTCTGTCATTGATCTGTGTGTCTATTCTAGTGCCAGTACCACCTTGGCTTTATTTCCATAGCTTTTAGGAAATCTTGAAGTCAGGCATTGTAAATACTCCAACTTTGTTTTTATCAAAATTATTTGGGTTCTTTCAAGATCTTTGCATTTTACATTCATTTTCATATAAGTTTTAGAATCAGATTGCAAATTTCTACCAAAAAAGCCTACTGAGATGTGCATTGGGATTGCACTGAATCTGTAATTCAATCTGGGGAAAATTGACATCTTAATAGTGTTGAGTCTTCAGTATGGGAACAGTGTTTTCTTCTATTTTTTATCTTTTCTTTAATATTTCTCCACAACATTGTTTAGTTTTCAGTGCACAGGCCTTGCACATAGAAATACAGTTTTCTTATATTAACCTTTTATCTTGTGATATTGCTAAATTCACTTGTTTTTATCCTCACCCAAGGATGTTTTTTCCATCTCTTTTAGAGAGAGAGGAAGAGAGAGAGGAAGGGAGAGAAACATCGTTGTGTGAGAGAAGCATCAATTGGTTGCCTCCTGTATGCTCCCAGACCAGTGGGGATGGCACCCAAACTGGGGATCGTAGAGTCTGGACTGGGGATGGAACCTTTCAGTTATGAGATGATGCTCCGTCCAACTGAGCCATGTCAGGGCACTAAATTCACTTTTTAATTCCAGCATCTTTTTTGATGACTTTTTACATACACATTCATGTCATCTGTGAATAAAAACAGCTTTATTTCTTCCTCTCTAATCTCCGTGCCTAATATTTCTTGTTACACAAGTAGTGCCTCTAGTTCAATGTTAAGAAGAAGTGGTGTGTGTGGACATCCTCTCATTCCTAGTTTTATGGGGAAAGCATTCAGTATTTTAAGTATGTTAGCTGTAAGTTTTATCATGTCCTTAGTACAGTGTCATAAATTTATCAGTTTGAGACAGTTCCTCTATGCTCTTAATTAGCTGACAGGGTTTTTGTTTTGTTTGTTTTTAAACGAATGGGTGCTGTATTTTGTCAAGATTGTTTTCTGAACCTATGGAAATGCTCATATGATTTACTTCCTTTATATTATGATTAATTACATTGACTTTTTGAATGTTAAAACAACTTTGAATTCCCTTTAAGAATTTTTTTCATTTAATAAAAGCCGTTGAGTTTATTGGCATTGAGTTTTTAATACTCTTTCCAATTGTCCTTTTTATGTCTGGAGGATTGGTAGTGGTATCCCCTTTTATTCCATATGCTAGAAATGTATATTTTCTTTTTCCCTGGATTGATCTGGTTAGAGGTTTGTCAGTTTTATTGCTCTTTTTAAAGAACCAGTTTTTCATTTATTTTTTTATATTTTGTCTTTTTTGTATTTCATTGATTTATACTTATCTTTATTATTTCCTTCCTTTTACTTATTTGACTTTAATTTGCTCTTATATTTCTAGCTTAAGGTAGAATCTTAGATCATTGATGTTAAACCTTTGTTCTTTTCTAATGTAGGCATTTAAATTTCCCTCTGAGCTTTGCTTTAGCTGCATTCCACACATTTTGTTATGTTTTCATTTTTATTCAGTTTAAAATATATTCTAAATATAAAGATGTAAATTTATTCTAAATATGTGATTTCTTCTTTGATTCATGAGTTATTTAGAAGTCTGTTTCAAATATTTGTGAGTTTTCCTGATATCTTCCTAGTACTATATTCTGGTCAGGGAACATAATCTTTTTTTATTTCAGTTCTTTAAACATTTTCTAATTTAAAGAAATGAGACTAGTTTATGAGACAACATGCAGTATTTCTCAGTTAATGTTTCATGTATACTTGAAAAGAATGTCTATTAAATATCAATTAGGTCAAGTTGGTAGTGTTCTTAAGTCTTCTGTATCTTCATAGTCTCTTTATTATCGATACTGAGAGAGGAGTGTTGAAATCTCCAACTATAATTGTGGATTTGTTTATTTGTTTACTTCTGTTGCTTTTTGCTTTATGTATTTTGAAGTGCTTTTATTAGGTACATACATCATACGTATTTATGATTATTTTGTCTACTTGATGAATTTACTGTTTTGTTATCATGAAGTGGTCCTCTTCTGGTAATATTCTTTGTTCTGAAGTATACTTTTCTTCTGATATTAATGTAGCCACTCCCACTTCTTTTAGATTAGTGTTTGTATGGTTTAGCTTTTGTCATTTTTTACTTCTGACTTATGTGTGCTTTTATATTTAAATTGAGCTTTTTATAGACAATGTATATTTGGGTTTTGCCCTGTAATGCAGTTTGACAATATCTGTTTTTACTTGGAATATTTAGACCTACATGGTTTAGTACTGTAGCTGCTAGCCACATGCAGTTATTTACATTTTAATTAAAATTAATTAAAGTTAAATAAAATTAAAACTACTTTCTCAGTTGCCACCTCCCACAGATTTTATAGACTGCTTTCTCTTAAGGAAAGACCTTCATCAGTCAGCCTAGGTAGGGATTCTGGGGGTGTCTGAAGCCTTTTCTGTGGCCCTGGCTGGCATGGCTCGCTTGGTTAGGCACCATCCAGTGCACTGAGGGGTTCTGGATTTGATTCCTTGTTGGAGCATGTGCCTGGTTTGAGGGTTTGATCCCTAGTTGTGGTTTGTGTGAGAGACAGCTGTTTAATGTTTCTTTCTCACATTGATGTTTTTCTCCCCATCTCTCCCCTCCACCAAAAAACAAACAAACAAAAAACCCCAAAACAATGAAAGAGTGTCCTTGGGTGATGATAAAACAAAATTAAAAACTAAGAAAGAAAACCTTACCCATGGATGTGTCTTTTGAGTATAAATTACCAATGAGACATTTTGCTGGTTTCTCTTTTCATTAGTTATTGCATCTTTTGGTATCTGGTACCACAGGACCTCTGGAACTGCGGAAAGCTGCTCAGCTCTTTAATGTTCCTAGTTACCCACCAGGCATTTAGGGTGTGCCAGGTCCCAGCAGCACTTTAAGTCAGGCAAGACAGAAGCCAGCCCCTCAGGCAGCCCTTTGAAAAGCTGAAATGTTGGATGCATGCTTCCCTCTTCACTTTTCCCCCAGAGGAAAAGCTACTGAGCTGTAGTGGCCTCTGTCGGATGTGCTGTGGATTTTCTGGAGCAGCAGTGCCTGCCCAGCTCTGTGTTGCTCTCAGCAGTCTCTAGGCATCTATAACATGTTGGGTCCCATCAGCACTCTGGATTGGGTGAGAGAGAAACCAGTCTCTCTGGCAGCCCTCCTAAAGCTGGAACATGAGAGGCACGGTCTTTCTCAGGGAGAAGATGAGAGATAAGTGATTGTGAGTGAGCATGCACTAGTCCAAACCATTGTCTTTGTCCTCACTGACTCCCATCTGGGGGCCCTTTCCTGACA